TGGGGTCTGTTTGTTAGTGGTAAACAACCCCAGCAGAGGCTTATGGTCAGTATAGACCGTGAAATGGCAGCGTATAAGAAATCATGAAATTTCTTAATGCCAGCCACTATAGCCAATGCTTCTCTGTCAATTTGAGTGTAATTACGCTCTGCAGAAGACAGAGTCCTTGAATAATAGGCCACAGGGAATTGTGTCCCATCAACCTTCAGATGGCTAAGTACAGCTCCCACCCATAAGGAGATGCATTGCTGGCGATGCAAACAGGCAGTTGCTCATTGAAATGTGCTAAAACAGCATTAGACGTGAGCAAGGCCTTAACCTCATTGAAACTCTTGTCATGGACTTTAGTCCATTGCCAAGGAGCCTACTTGTCTAGGAGCCTGTGTAAAGGCTCTGCCACTGCAGCCTTATGTGGGAGAAATGCATGGTAAAAATTTAATAGCCCCAAAAAGGCTTGTAGCTCACTCTTAGATTTAGGACTTGGGGCCTGCTGAATAGCTTGTAATTTAGTTTCAGCAGGGTGAATGCCTTGAGCATCTATCCTGAATCCTAAGAAGTCAGTAGAAGTGACTTCTATCTTACATTTATCCTTCTTTAGTTTAAGGCCTGCTTTTCGAAAATGAAGCAAGACAGCCCTTAGTCTCTCTGCTAAGTTTTGAGATGACTCTCCAGCAATGAGGATATCATCAAAATAGGGACAGACCCCAGGAATACCCCAAAGTGTGCTCTCCATGACACTTTGGAATATGCCAGGGGCTACATTTACCCCAAATTGCAGTCTCTTGACCTTGAAGGCCCCTCTGTGAGTTACAATAGTCTGGGCCTCTGCAGCTGCCTCATCAACAGGTAGCTGTTGATAGGCCTGTGCCAGGTCAAGCTTCGCAAAAATGCACCCCCCCTCCTTGAGGAAGGCCAGAATGTGACTTACTACAGGTACTGGATAAGCATGCTGCTGCAGCGTCTTATTCAGTGTACACTTGTAGTCTGCACATATACGTATGTCCCCATTAGCCTTTAGAGGCGTTACTATGGGGGTTTCCCATGGACTTGAGTCTATAGGTTCTAAAATGCCCTGCTGGAGCAATTTGTCCAGCTCAGCATCAATCTTGCCTTTGAGGGCAAAAGGTACCCTCCTAGGCTTAACCCTGATGGGCATGATGGTTGGGTCTAACCGTAGCGAAATGGGAGGCCCCTTGTAGGATCCCAGCTCTGAACTAAACACATCTGCAAACTCCTTGCAGACTTCTGCCAGGCTCAACGTTTGCAAATGGTGCAGCCCAGTTACCTGGATTCCCAGAGCCTCGAACCAATCGAGTCCAATAAGACTCGTGCGTTCACCCCCAAAAACCACCACATCTAGGGGACCTTCAAAATCCTTGTGCTGTACTCTAAGGGTGGCCTCCCCCTTAACACACACCATAGAATTCTGAAAATCTGTAAGTATTAGATTGGATGGCCTGAGTTTGGCTCGAAGGCCACTGCTGTTGCATAGCCTTTTGAATGTGTTAATAGAAATAATGGAGAGAGCGGACCCAGTGTCCAACTCCATGGATAAAGGAACCCCTTGCAACCTTACATTAATGGACAGTTTCTTCTTTAAGGGTTTATGTGTGCCTGTTCTCAAAATACTCCTGCGCAATGCGCAGAAACCCACCCTATGTTGGCTGGGGACCCTGGTACCTTTCAGACACAATTCTTCACAAGGTTGGACCTTCTAGCGACCCAAACAGACGGATGCGATGTGGCCTTGCCTGCCACACTCTCTGCAAATAGGGGAGCAGAACCTGCAGTCAGCTTGCTTGTGGCGTCCTCCACACCTGAAGCATTGAAGAGCTGCTGGGGCCTTGTCTGGATGTTCCTTCTGCCTCCTTTCAGCTGGCTGGTAAAGCATATCCACCTCTTCTTCAGGATCCGCTTCCGATCCTTCTCGAGCATCCTCTTGATGGACGGTGGCTGCCTCTGGAGGGCTCCTGGTGGGCCACAAAGTCTTCACTGCCCCGCCTGCTGCTTCCTCAGCTGTCACCTCTCATAGAGCATCTTGGAAAGAGACATCTTCTTTTGCAAAAATCTTCTGCTGTAAGTCTCTGTTCCTTAAACCGCATACAAAGCGATCTCGCAGCCTCTCTTCCAGATCCTTGAACTCACACGGTCTGGCTGCTCGCCTTAAGGCCGCAATAAAATCCTTAGCAGATTCACCTGCCCTCTGGTCCCTCTGCTCAAGTGTGTGCCTCCAAGCAATAACAGACAACTTGGGCTGGAAGTGTTCCTTCAGCAGTTTCTTCAAGTCAGTATACGTTACTGACTCCAGAGGTACAGGGGCCAGCAGATTCTCTTCAATTTCAAAAGCTTCCTGTTCACAGACACACAACAGAGTTGCAGCCTTCAAGCCATCTTCTCTAATCTGGTTTACTCTGAAGTAATTCTCCACCCTTGTAACGTAGGATTCCCATCTCTCTGGGTGTGAGACATCAAAATCAGATAAATGACCAATCTTCACCATCCTGTCATTTACAACCTTCACCACTCACTCCTCTGCAACTTCTATTGGGGGAAAGGGTCTTTCAGCCGAGCTCACCCTCCAGCGACGCTATACTGGCAGGCTGGGACACTGATTCCAACGCCGTCTTCCCCTCTTCAGGACTTCCTGGGTAAGTCTTTAAAGCTTTCTTTTCTTCAGCTTGTAAAGCATCCCACCTTCGTCGCCAGTGTTAAGTCCTTCGTTCGTGGGCGAATGATGAACACGCATGGTGCATTTAACAGTTCTTTATTTGTCTCACAAAAACACCCAACAACACAACCGGCACCCAGACCTCTTTTATGTGTCCGGAGACCCGGACAATGGCAAACAAGGAGCAGAGCGTTTTCACGCCCTGCGCATGCGCACAATACTGGCGCCGCTCAGTCTGGTCCCAGGCAGCTTTTGGATTGCCTGGGACCAATGCAACGTCCCGAGCCTGCTTTTGCAGGCTCAGGACACAACAGTATTGAAAATAGGTAGTGGTCAGGCAGAGGTCCAGCATGGCACATATGTGGTCTGGGCTGAGGTTAGTTCTGTCACCTAAGGTGCTGTCTTGTAGCAGACGTTTTTTCACTACTGTGACAGCTTCAGTTATTGGAATGCAACTGAAGAGGGAAGTCATATCATAGCAAACCATGGTCTCATCCGCATCCAGTTTTATTTTCCAAACCTTGCTGGTGAAGTCGTGTGAATTATTGATGTGATGAGTGGTGTTACCAACTAGAAGAGCTAATATGGTAGTTAGATATTTTGCAATATTGTAGGTGACCGAGTTGATGCTCTTGGATGAGAAGTGAAATGTCTTCAAAGAAAAACAAGAAAGTCCAGTTGCCTCATGAAAAAGCATCTTTGGGGTAACTATGACCTAGATGACTGAGAATCTCCATAGACATTTAGAATTACAGTGGTTTTAGGGTGATTTGAGTTTATCACTGTCTTTTTGAGATTTGCCCAAATATTAGGAGAAAAATGAGGAGATGTATGTAGTGAAAGATAAATCTTGATTAAAATCATTTCAGAGAATTTATAAGAAAATTTGACAGCTAAATGGGAGAGTTTGAGGACCAATTCCTGTCTTTACCAGCCCTTGGCAAGAGCCCTTCTGATGCCTCCCTTTAGTCTTAAATTTCTTTGCAGGGACAGTCCAGGAACTGAAGCTTGGTAATTAAATCTTCTCTCCATTTGTAGTCAACCAAGTCTCTTGGAGTGCTATAAAGTCAAAATTGGAATCTCCATCAGGTCCCTATCTGTTGTTCTACTCTTCCAGCCAACCATGTTCCAAGTCAGCAGCTGGTTGGAACCTTTGCACTTAAAATTAGTGGTAATGGGTGGAAGGGATTGGCATTTTGGATTGAAGCCCAGGAGTTTTCAGTCATTCCACTGAAGTGATATTCTCCAAAATTCATTCAGTGTCAAAAAAACACACATTGGTTTGACACTTGTCCACCTTCACCATAGCCTTGCTGTTGCATAAGCTCCAGAGAATTTTGAATGGGGTGTGTGTGTGACAATTTGGATGAAGTACTTTTGCTGATTGGCGTTCTGCTAAGGCTGGCCTTCTTATAACTCAGTTCAGCTCCAAGACTGTCCTCATTTTGTAATTCAGCAGGATGTGGGCTTGTCTGGGAGAAGAACATAAAATCATTTTTATTTCTATAACTTGTATTTTCTATGTGGAGTGATGTGTTATCAAGCAATAAAGGAGTAAGGTGGAGACTACTCCTGCTGCCACTTTTTCCTTTTTCCCATGGCAGAGATGATAAAAATGCAGTCTCCAGTAAAAATAATAAAATTGCCAGTCTCCAGCAGGAGAATAAAGGAGATGAAAGTATAGAGTAAAATGGGATAAAATAAAAGCTTGATAAAAAAAATTAAAACAAGGCTTTAGAGGGAGCTCCTTACAACAGATGCTACCTTATATGCCATTTTTCCTTCTCCTTGTGTGCAATAAATATATTTGGGGTTTCCTCTGGAAACATAAAAATAGACAGAAAACAATATTCGAAGAATTATGTGGAGGCTAAAAGCACACCAGACCTTATCAATACTCTGGGCATTAAGGTACTTAGGGGCAGTGTCTATTAGGTACTGAGAATACCGAAACAGAGATTGAAAAAAGGATTGCTGTTTGAATCATCTATAGGTATGAAACAGGTATGAAGATATTTCAAAATGTCATATGTTGATTTTTCTGTTTTTCCCATTTTTATTAAGATATTGGTCTTTGTACATGGAATGAAATTATTTTTTTCTCTTTATGTTACATTATGAATACAGTATTTACTGAGAGTATTTCTACTCTCAGTAAAAGGACACAACATTTATGGACAATAACATTATATGTAAAGCAGTTTTAAACCTGGGTTTTAGTCTTTCTGAGGGCTGCAGTGGAGTTAAAAGTGTTAACTATGTTCAATGTAATCAAGCCCATGTTCTCCAATCTGCTTAACCATTCAATCTACTTATGTATATACATTTGCAGGTCCAAACTGCTTTGCAGGAACCACCATCATTCCAGCTGGCATCGAAGTCAAAGTGGATGAGTGTAACATCTGTCACTGCCATCACGGGGACTGGTGGAAGCCTGCCCAGTGCTCCAAACGTGAATGCCAAGGAAAGCTGACTGCATAGGGCAAAGCTCCCAGCAATGATGTTTGCACACCCATTGTGATAGCTTCCCAAGCTGAATCTGCCAGCTGCAGTTGGGTCACCAGCAAAATCGTTTAGGGTTAAATAAGACAATTTTACCTGTGAGCTTGTTCTCTTCCTCTCTTTTCCTCTCTGAACAAAATCTATGTAGGTGTTTGACATTATAGCAAACAACACAGGTTGGTAAACTAGTTTAGGAGAGGAATGTTCTACAGAGCTTCTTCTGATGATGGTTTATGTTTTCTCCACCACGTGGGGATAATTGAAAAGAAAAATGTATGTTATAATTTTGATAGAAAACAAGCTAAAGCCAACCAGTGTAAGCAGTCAATATTCACAAAAGAGATTATACAACCTAAGAAAATCAACTCTCAAGGTCATCACTCAGCAACATATACCAGTGTCACTCTATTGCATTATCATTTTTCCCACCTCTTCAGTTCTAGGCAAGGAAGAAAGAAACTGCAGTTTCCTAGAGATTCGCCTTTCACTAATCCATCAGGCTAACATGGTTATTCAGGTTAATTTTAGTGAAAATTACTGCCCCCTTTGCTCTCTCTCCATCTTGAAATAATCTCAGCATGAATGTAGAAATCAACTGGTTTTAAGGGATAATATGTACATCTCGACTGGAAGAAATTATCTGACATGGAGTTGCAATTCACGACTATCCAAATGTTAATTATCAGCACAAATATATCTTAAAACATTTAATGCTGAATAACATTCCAATAAATTGGATGGGGTGGAGGAATCACACAACAGATTTATTTGACCAGGATATCTGGAAATCAAGATACACTGTAATCCCCCCCCCTTTTTTTTTGGCTCAAGAGCCCAAAGAAAATTAACTGTGCAAGTTTCCTGAATTAAATTTGTTTTTCATTTTTCTTTTCAGTGTTCATTTCGAACTCCGAAGAAGTCCTCCTTGCTTGAGTTTACAAGTGCATATATTTGAGGCTAAATTAACAGGGACAAGAGTTTGTCCGTTCCTCCATTTCTTTTTAGGTAAAATATCTCATGAAAGAAACATCATGTTCCAAATCCATTTTAAATTTTGCAATTTCTTGGAAGAGTTTGAGATCATTTCCTATACAATAGAATCCTTTTAAACATTAATATAGATAACGAACTGTTCTATGGAGAGAAAATTGTGTTAACTGGAAAGCGACTGAAGCCCCAAAGTCCTAGAAATATGTATTATGTATTATGTAATGAAATTTTGCACCTACCATCAACCATTTTACTGGGTAGGCAAAATGAGTCACACCCCTTGTTTCTGCAACCTAGAAAACTTGTTAGTAAGGATGTTAACCATGGAACAGCAATATGTTTTTGCATATTGTTTCACCAGAAATTCAGACATTTACTTACACCTAAGATACCAAACACCTAACATAACATAATACCCCAGTCTCTCTGCCCTTCTTTTAAATCGAGGCTCCATCCATATATGACTTAAAATAAGTGAAATATTGCTTATTTTTGTAAAGTGCAGATAATCATATATTATTAGTTAGAATTGGGCGATAAAGCAAGAAAATATACCCTATGAACAGAAGTATAAAATGTGAAATTAGTAGCTACTTAATTATGGGAGCAATAATGGGTAAAAATTAAGCTTGAACTTCCACATTTTTAGCAATTAAAATAAATTGTGGCAATGACAATTTTAAATTGAGATCTCCTTTGGTTTTGATTTATTCTCATCCCCATAGTTGCCATTTGTTTTTAATAATGTGCCAAGTCCACTTGTGGCTCCCTCACCTTTTACATAATTTGACCATAAGACTGTAAGAAATAAAAGTAAACACCAAATGCCATGTAAGTTTTGGTAGCATGTTACCTTAACATTGTGGATTCTCATCCATAAGCTTTTTTCTGTTTTAGTGCCCTTCATATAGAAGCACTGAGATAGAGCAGTGTCCTATGATATGAATAAGCTGATGTGGCTTCTTCTCAAACTAATAGAAGGCCCCAAAGCAACAATTCTCTGATGCAAGAGGGATCTGCACCTGCTCTGTTCATCGAACATCATACCAGGCAACTCTTCTTTAATAAACTAATTTGAACAATGGTTAGCAGTTGTGTTCAAGAATTTATGAATGCAGATTAATAAATTATTCAGGTATCATTTTTCAGAGATATTCTCACTTTTCTGTTCCATGAGAGATTCATTTTCTGTTTTTGCTTCCTCTTAAATACAAATAATCTAAAGCAGATCTTTCAATAAGAAATAAATGACATACCTGGGCTTTTGAAAACCATGAAAAAGCTAAGTAGAGCTAGAAAGTATCGCAGCCTATCTTTTATTGACAAACTCCAGAATCTTTGGGAGAAAAGAGAAAAAAATGGCTAAGATCCATCAAAAGACAAGCATACTGGAAGTAGTTCAGAGAATTTATTGGGGCCGAGAAGTCTGAATTCATGCAAAGTAAACTTTATACAGAAGGACATGCTAGAAGCTATCACCTGCAGATAAGACCTTTGTTAACAAAAAGTCTTTGTCTAGGATGTAATTACCATGAGCTGCTTTATGGGGCACTTTATAAAACCATAATTTCTTACAAAGAGATTTAGAATTGCAACCTTATAATTTGGAAACAAGCATTTGTTTTTTATTTATTTGCCTTTCTGCATGGGAAGAATCATGTCAAAAGCTTTTTGTAGAGCTTCATGGAGGCTTCAGCCAGAATTACAGTATCTATTTTGGAGCTTTGCTAGAACCCCAATTTAAGAGACATTATACTCTTTTGCAAGGAGACATTTAAAAAGTCCTCACTTATGCAGGGGACACTATTTTACAATGATGTAAATGTAAATGTAGTGATTAAGGCATCAGGTTAGAAAACAGGAGACTATACATTCTAGTCCCACCATAGGCACAAAATCAGCTGGGTGATTTGGGCTAGTCACTTTCTTTCAGCCCTAAGAGGCAATGGCAAAACACTTTTGAAAAATCTTGTCCAGTCTCTGAGAATTGGACACCATTGAACAGAAGGAAAAAATGCAAATGATTCTTGCTTCACAAGATTTGGGATCTATCTAATCAGAAATTATTAAGGAACTTAAATTAATTAGCACTGTCTTTGGCCTTTCTCTTCAGTCCATTCTTTCCTGGACTTCATTCAGTTTGGCCTTCCTAATATTGATAAATTAACTCTGTTTTTGCCCTCAGCTCTCTCTCTCTCTCTCTCTCTCTCTCTCTCTCTCTCTCTCTCTCTCTCTGAGGAATGGAGGTCATGCAGTTTTGACCTATTTCTCCCATTGGAGGAAAAAGCAGCTTTTGGCTTTGGATGGCTTATCAGCTGCATCTCTTTCCCAAATTCTTCTATTCTCCTCCAAGAAGCATAGAGACCTTTCTATCTATCAACTTCTGGGATCTGCTGACCGTTTTCAGACTAAGGTGACTTGTGAAATGATGTAGCTGCTTGAAAGAGTTGTCAACAGGTTTTATGAGACTGTCTTTGTGTGCACCAAAGCACTTTTCCCCCTTCAAATCTGAAGCCCTGCACAGCCCTGGGTTGTTGTTTTTTTCCTGTTACTCTGCAAACTAATCTGAACAATTTAAAAAACTACCAGTCTTATTTTTTTTAAAGTCCTGTGGTAAGTGCACCAGGTCTGTATGCTAGTGTAAACAGCACTGATTAAATGCTTTATGAAGTAAACAAAAAATCCCATGTCAATAGCATGTCAATCAGATTGACTTCTATCCTTTTTATTGTATTTTTTATATTGCAAGTTTTGCTTAATATGGGGAAAGCCTTTTACCATTCTAATCCCATATGAATGGATTTCTCTAGTGAAGTTGTGCTGATTTATTATTTATTTATTATGTATGTATGTATGTATGTATGTATGTATGTATGTATGTTCTGTGTGTGTGTGTGTGTGTGTGTGTGTGTATTGAATTTTAAGGGATCATTCATTGCATTTGGAAAACATGGATAATCTCACTTGCTTTTATGTCCTATACCATTTTTGTGGCACATGAAAGCCAAAGATACTAAGATTTTCCCTACATTTAAAGTTTATTAATTAAAATAGTCTGAAATGATTTTATTAAAAGTCTGGTGCTGTGCTCTTAAGGGTTAGGGTTATTCTCTTTTTTCCATATTCCCTGGAACAGATTGGCAGGTGTAGTAAGCTGGTAAGAAAGCTTTTTATTACTTCTCATTTCCAGTTCTTTTACACTACAAATAAAGGCTAGACTGTGTTGTTCAAACTGCTATGAATAATAGCTATGTCATATGTCTGTACATAAATGTCTTGCTTGATTGAAAAATTTTGACTGACTCTCAAGCATAGAGAGAATAGTTTCAACTAATCAAAAAAGTATGTTGCAAATTACAAATGTTGGTTAAGTATCATTCTGACATAATTTATGTTTTTGTTTCACATTATGCTTCCCTGGCATGGAAATTAAGGTGGCCTCAAGTGTTCTCCCATTCAGTTACTGACCAGACACACTATCCATTTAGTCCCAGCACAGACACTCTAGCATGTGCCTTCAGATCATACCCTGGATGAGCAGGCATGAGGAAAATTCAACAATTATCCTATTAGAATGGATGGAGAAGCTGATTGTCATTTTGCATTGCTTCTTCTAACTACAGTCCTTTGGGTATTCTGGACTACAAATTCCTATTCTCCTGAACCATTGGTCACTGATTGGAGCTTGCTAGAATCCTAGAAGGATTGAATAAATGTTGCTTACCGCAAACTCTAAAGCTCAAAAAGTTCCCCAAGCATGTGCATCTGAAAAATTGTACTTACCATTATATAGAGGTTGATCTTGTGCAGAATGAGGCTCCAGAAATTTGTACATACATATACATGACATAGCATAGGGCCAGATCATTATGTTGATATAATTTGATCTACCAGTTTTAAATAAAGCTGTGGTGTATCCTATTTGCTTGGAGATCAGATTAAATACTTCAACTGCTAATGAAACAGAGGGAACTGTGTTCTTCATAAAGAGAATACCTGTCAGATTTTTTACACTTTTAAACAATAGTGTGCCTAAAAACTAGTGAAAACAAAACATGCTACTGTAAAAAAAAGATTCTAGAAAATAATATTTGAAAAAATATATTATTAAAAATATTTTGTTAAATATAAAATATTATCCAGCAAATGTCTCTTGTGTTCTTCTTTGCACTACACCTGTAGGCTTCTCTTTTTAATTTCACATATGTTCTGTGGGGGAAACCCCCACTTAAGTAAAGGACCAAAATATTTGGAGATAGCAGCAATACAATTAGTATGCACAACTACAGTGATCCCTGGACCGTCATCAAAAGAAAGTGAAGAGCCATAAGACACCCACCGAAGGTTACAGATTATATCCCCTCTAGCAAAGATATATGGGGTTTAAAAGATCAGCATAAGTTATATAACAACATTTATTGTAGGAAAGTAGGATCTGATGAACATGGAAAGCATAATTAAATGGCAAACTGTCCACAGTGGAGAAAACATTTCTTTGGCCAGACAGAAAATTCACCTTCCATAACTTTGCTATGTTTAGCAGCATTCACAGTACACTTTCTGAAAATGTCAGAAATAATTTCACTAGATGGTGGGGACTCCAGGGGAAATACTGTAAGTGATCAGTCACTGTACATCTTCAAACCCCGGTGTATTATACTGTATTATATTCTTTGTGTGGACAGCAATGGTCAAATATTTATTCCCAGACTTTATTAGAGTAATCATATTCTATGCTTTATGTCAGACTGCTTACGAGTATAAAACCTGCCGCAGGTGGGACCCTGAAGCAGGAGTATATAAGTGATACCAGTGCCTGATTTTTGCAAAGTTTTTATGGCTATTAAATTTTTATTTTAATTAGAAAATGGTAAGCTGAAATGTTGCAAGACATTTCTAGAACAGTATTTATTTACAAAACATGCCTCTACATGCCCCCTCTCCCCATAGCAGGATTTTTGAAAATAAAAATAGGTGGTTGCAGCAAAGTGCTTTCCTGGTTTTTGTGACCAACCATCTGCTCATAAAAACAAACAGGAGAATGAGCTGGAGTGACAGGGCATAGTAAAAGGCAGAAGGCAAGTTTCTGAAATTGGCTGTAGACCTCTAACTTGTTGATGGCCATTCTGTGAAAGTAGCTGTATTATGCTCTCAAAATTCTAACTATACCATTATTCAGGTGAGTGAAGGACTCCATCCAAAATATTTCATTATTTGAAATATATTCCAATTGGTCTTTATTTAAGTTAGAATGAATGATTTTGGATTCCTCCACAAATTTTGGCAGAATTGAGAGTTCTACTCTATGAACCACAATTAAATCACATATTACCCATAGTCATCACTTCCATCTAGTTGGAAGGGAGACTTTTGAAATGAGACTTTTGAATCAGTTTTCCATTCAGCTAAATTTCTATCCAGTCTTTCAAAATCTCATAAACTTAGTGTTATGGTTCCGGCTAATGAAACACTTCAAAGAACTTCCAGGCATTTATTTCCCTAAAAAAATTTTATTGTTACAAAATGTCAGCACAGGCATAATGGAAGCTTTTTATAGCGAGAGAGCTTAACATCTAGCTTCACAGCTGTCTGGTACCACTCCTGTAACCGATCAGGTACTTCTCGATAAATGCAGGCCTAAGAGAGGTGATTGTCTAATCCCTCGATGAAGTAATGGATGAGGGACTGCTCAGGCCACCCCTCTATTCAACCTGCTATCTTGCGGAATTCTCGCACATACTCCAGGACAGGCCTCCCAGCTTGTTTTATTTTGTGAATTTGTCCTGCTGCTTTGAGGCCAATGGATGGGTCCTCAAATCGTTCTCTCAGACTTAAGAGAAAGAGGTGGGGATCTTCCAATTCGGGGGCTTGCTCACTATATAAATTGTTCAGCCATTCAGATGCTTGTCCCTCTAGGTTGGACGCAATGACATTGACCATGGCCCCTGGTTCCAGGTACAGATAGGCCCAGCAATTCAAGTGAGAACGCACTTGGTTGAGGAAAAAATCAGCTTCTCTGGGTCCCCATCGAAGGTTGCATTGAAGGGTGGTGCGAACACAGGCTGCTATGGCCCCTACTGGGGCTGTTGCAGCTGGCCCCATCCAGGTTGTAGATTTGTCTCCAGGGGTTGCACGTTTGGGGGCTGTTGCCAATCTCCTCGCTCCTGGCCCCATCCTGGCTGCAGATTTGTCTCCAGGGGTTGCACGTTTGAGGGCTGTGGCCAGTCTCCTTGCTGTGGTCGTTCTCCCACCAGCTGCTGATCTCCTGGCTTCTGTATCACCCCAAGCCCCTGCAAGGCCTCTATTAGCTGTGGTATGTTCAGTTGCTGCTGATCATTCATCTGCTGGGGAAACCCATCTACCCATTGCAGATGCCTCAGACTGGAACTCCCCTCCTCTTCAGGGTTGGGGTCCCTGGCTGGGGAAGACAGGATCTGACAGGCCTCCTGCTGGGCTATGGGAAGGGTATAGTCTCCTCTATCCAGGAATTGAGAGCTGCTTTTCACTTCTGGGTTTTGAAATCTTTCCAGTGACTCACCTGCAACTGCGTTATCTGTCCATTCTGCTTTTGAAGTCTTTGCTCTCAGCTGGGAAATCTGCCAAATTCCTCTCTCCCCCAGCTTGCCAGTTATTGCTTTCCCCCCCCCCCCGGGAAACTGTTGCAGCCATGGGGCTGGTCTCAGGCAATCTTTCTTTCTCCATAATGAGATCTTCCCCGAATCTTTACCAGCTCCTCTCAAGCCTAGAGGCAGTGGATGGAGTTTGGGACCCCAGGTTATTTGGAAAGGATTTGGATCCTAACATGTTGTTATGGTTCCGGCTAATGAAACACTTCAAAGAGCTTCCAGGCATTTACTTTCCTAAAAGTCATTGATTGTTACAAAATGTTGGAGGGATGCTAGGATCTAAGTCCTCTTCCTCTGAGTAGTTAAATTATCAGCATGTTCCCTCCCTAAATTAGCCGTCGTATATCATATTATCCAATTAGTGTGAAGGTCAAAGGTTTTCTTCCTCTTTCTTTCCTGGGCTTTACCTCCACCCCCCTTCTGCTCCGTATTAACCCCATAAATACCAGACAGTTCATCATATTGTCAAAAGCAAGAATATACAATATTTGCAGAGTTGACACTTGGTTCCAAAGCTATTTAAAAATGGGGAGTAGGTCAGGATGGGATGCTGGCTGGCTGAGGAGGGGAGATCATGGCCACTCAGGTGGCCACCACTGTTGCTAGCATCTTGGGTGCCCCAGCTCCATCCAAACTGAAGAAAGTGGATGCACAGCAGTGGAATTGCTCTCAAACAGTAAGGCCCAGGTCCGCTGCTCGGTCGCATGTGCCAGCCTAGTTGTTTGAGGGCAATCCCACTGCTGCATCTCCACTTTCTTCAGTTGGATGGAGTTGGGGATGTTGGTGGCAGTGGAAGCTACCTGAGCAGCCATGATCCCCCTTCCCCAGTCAGCCAGCCCAACCTACCCCTCGTCTGGCAGCACAAGGCTTCACTGCTCTCCTCCTCCTCCTCCTCCTCCTCTTCCTTCTCCTCCTCCTCCTCCCACCCCCTCAAGCAGCGGTGAACTCCGCAGGACAATGGGGTCTCATTCCTCCCTGGCATGGTTAGTTCCGGCAGGCTGGACACGGGTGTAAGGGGCCTGGCCCTTGATGCCTCCCTGCTCAATTCAAGGCTTTACTGTTTGAGAGCAAATCCAGGCCTTACTGTTTGAGAGCAATCCTGCTGCTGTGCCTCCACTTTCTTCAGCTCGGACAGAGCCAGGGCATTCAACCTGTTGGTGGCGATGGGAGAGGCCACCCCCAGCCAGCCAGCACCTGCAATTGACCTACTCCCCTTCTGGCCGGCCAGCACAAGGCCTCCCCACTCTTATCATTATCATCTTCCCTGCTCAAACAGTGGCAGGGTCCGCAGGACAATGGGTCTCATTTCTCCCCCGACACAGTGAGTTCTGGTGGGCTGGATGTGGGTACAAGGGGCCTGGCCCTGTGATGCCTCCCTGCTCAGTTGAAGGCTTCATTCCTGCCCTCAAACTAAGGCTGGTGTACACAAGTGAGCAGTGCACCCGGGCCACGGACAGTATTGGTTTCTGGGCGAGCTGTCTCCATTTCCACACTTTGCCCCATAGGCATGCAAACAAAGCAAACACTTTTCCCCCAGAGAATGGAAGCTTCTGGGGGCCATGATCTCTTTCACAGAGAATGGGTGTTTGAAGTTGTGTGAGATCACGGATCACAGAAACTTCCATTGTTGGCACAAAAAGCATTTCCAAGCTGACTCTCCTCTCCTTCAAAGGGAAAGAAACTGCGGCAGAGAGGAGACAGGTCTTTGCAAGGTAAGTGAGTCTGGCATGGCAGGAAGGGAGGGGGAAGCATGAGGTACCTTAATGGGTCAGGAAGGCCTTTGGGGCCTGTTCCATCATTAGGCCCCCCATGCCTTCCCTACCCTGAGATACCTCATGTGCACTTAATGAGCAGTGCTAAGAGCAGTGTATTCAATTAGCGAATGCGTGGGCGAAAGCAGGGAATGATTGCGTCCAAGGTATGAGATTCACTCCTATGAGTTCTTGAGTTACGAATGGAATGGGCAGGCTCCATTAAATTCATAACTTGAGGACTACCTGTATGTTTGGGATATGGGAATGAAAGCCTTTTCAGGTGCCTGGGAAAATAATGAAGGTGTACATTTGTTTTGCCTTATTTTAAACAGGCAAGGAAAAATAGGAAGCTCAGGGGGAAAAAAGCAACATTAATGAAAATCATACCTTGCAAAAATGATTTTTCCCAAGAAACAAAACAGCCACAGACTTTAGATTCATATTTGCATGTAGGACTTTTCTTCAGTCTAATCAACATATGTATTTATTTTTTTTCCCTCTTCACAACTAAAATTTACAAATTTAATTTGCATTCTTTTGAATTGTCTCAAAATGAATGCTTCCAAAGCTATCCAGTCAAATTACAATCTCTTTTATTAATGTTCTCATCACTTTTCGATTAATTATAGTATTGGGTTAATCAGACCCATTAATTTCTTTTCTCATTTAGGCCTTTTAAAGATGTGGTTGCTGATGGAATTTATTTTTTTTAACCCACAATCAATAACAATTAAGAACTCTTTTAAAATCTCATT